ACAAGAGTAAGTGACAAGTACAAAAGCATATTTAAGCAATTTAATAGGAATTTCTCCTTCTAAGATGTCTATATTTTGTTACACGTATATGCGTATTGCATTTTTAACTTGTTTTATCTCATATGAAGCACGCTCATAAACGTTTGTAGTAAGATAACTGAAGTATCAATGTGGACATTACTACAGGATTTTGTTTATTGCATGTACTAAATATGTTTATATCTTTTTAACCCTGCGTGATAGAAACTTTTTATAATGATTTCGAAATTAGCGTGATTGTTTGCTTTAAAATTACCTACTTTCATCCTGAAGGCATGACAAAATTTTGTTCCTAGTGTTATTTAAATGTTTTGGAACATTTTACTGTAAACCACCGTCCGTAGTTTCGTTATCGTTCACAAGAATTTCCGCAGGAACTTCACAAAATATTTTACTTTCCCGTATTCGTATTTTTTTAACTTGATTGGCCACATCGGACCACTTGAGTCGTTTCACTTCACTTTGTTCATGGTCGACTGTCGAAGGTATCACCTTGAGGAGAGGATAAATCCTCGAGTCACAATTCTGAATGTTATTCAGAAAGGTGATAATGAGAGATGGGGATGATGGATGATAGGGGGTGAAAGGACGAACACAATGCAACCATGCCCGAGGCGGGACTCGAACCCGCGATCTTCCGGTACGAGATCGCTACGGCACTACTGCCTTAGCGATCTCGGCCACCGGATCGACTTATACGTATTTATTATACGGAGTAATATACGTAGTAACGGAAAGTTATGTAACGCTTCGATTGAGCGAGCAGCGCCCGTGCAGTGAAGATCACGATCTCGTCATTGCCACGCGTACTGAGCGAGCAGCATACCACAAACTGTTTAGATAATGTTACAGTTCTCTGAAACAGCGTAAACTGTGGAGGGGAAGCGCCTCTCACTAGCGAACGCTCCAAGGAGATTATTCCCAAGAATCCTCGTGCAACCGCCGCTTCCGGGAGCAGAACCAACTACTCCTGGAGGAAGCGCGGCTAAAGCCGCTGCCGCCCTCGGATCCGGTGATGTCGGACGACGAGATGGCCGATGCACCACCAGCGAGAACCTCCATCGCCAGCGATGAGGTATCCAAACAAGCGCACCGCAACCTCCGACGCTCTCTTGACTCCTCCCCCGACCAACCAACCAACATTTTCCTGACGGATGACGGCTTCCGATTGGTAACAAAAGGAGCCAAACCCCAACCTCCACACCAAAATAAACCGGTTGAATCCCTTCAGCCCTCCAACCCTCTTTCCCAATTGGACCCCCAAGCAATCAGACTCGGGAACCCCTGAAGACCTAGACACGAGCCACGAACCATTTGCTGACCAATCATCCTCCCAACAAACGACGACCCCAAAACCAACCAACAAAGAACGAATCGGACATTCAACCAATGACTGTGACTGCCCACGGAAAGATAAGGGACCGCCTGGACCAGATCTGTAGAGACATCAGACTAAAAGGACTTTTCTTCATCATTTTTTACCATTTCAGCCGAGCCACTGACGAACAAAGAGGCAAATTTGTAATTAAAGGGTTCATGGGCAAATATGACTTGACTGCCATCAAAGATAACTCGACCGCCGTTAAAATTACTTCACACCACATTACTGAGATGCAACGACGAGACACCGTCGGGACATTGACATCAATAGGCCTGTGCACAGTAGAGACAAACAAAAAAGAAATGACAGACATCAAGAAAGTACCAAGACACATTGACCACTTTAGAGTGACCATTGAAGACTACAAGATGACAGACAGAATACCCCAGTACCGAAATTGCCAAAGAATGTACCATACGAAGGCGCATTGCAGGAGACAAGCGACTTGCACCCTCTGCGCTGGTTCCCACCCAACTTCAGACTGTTCCTCTCAAACATCTCACAAACAATTCACCCCAAAATGCATCAACTGCTTCCTAAACGCCTACGACCCACAATGCCCCTTTACAGTGAAAGTTAGAGAACAACGACACACACAGATGACCAAATCATTCAACCATCCACTCGTAACCAATTCACTTCAAAATTTCCCCACCTTAGACTCCAAAACCACGCAATATGTGCAATTAAAAAAAAATATTTTCTCTAAAACGACCAATAGTTTTTTTCTTTAAACGTTTGGTAAATGTAGTACTAATTGTACTATATAAACTGTCATAAAAGCCACATTCTTTCGTTTTTGGAAAAATTAAAAAAATATAATTTTATTGATTTGTCGCTCTCGTCGTTAATATTTATATTATCAGCAATTCGTTTACATTATATTCATGAGTACATGTGCTTGAAATAATGATACATACATTTTCTCTAAAATGAACCGTTTTCTATGAAAACTAGCTCAAAATTTCGCCTTTTCAGAAACGGTCGAAAGCTATTTTCTCAAAAACCGCTATAAATATTTTCTTCAATTTTTTTGAACGGTGAATTTTTTGAAGTGTATATTCGTGAAAATCCATAATCAAATTCAACTGAAATGCCAAAGGGAAGTTGTTCTCCAAGGCATCTATGGTAGCTTTTGCTGAGTAGTCCATCAGCCGCCAAGAGAGGAGATGCCGCTGTTACAATGAAGGATTTACTGTGGGTTGCATACTGCCCCTTTCAGATCAGGTGAGATTTTTTAAGACTTAGTAAGTTCTATAACATCATGAAAGAAATAATATTGCCGATTTTCAAAAAAAAAAAAAAAAAAAAATTAAAAGAGTTCTTTTTGAGTAATTGCTTTTTAAACAGTTTTTATTGTTGTATGCCAAGAATAACACGATATACAATTGATATAGAATGAATAATTTTAATACCTATGATATATGTACTCACAATTTTTTATAATTTTTAGAAATGTTTGGAAGAGGGCAAAAAATTAAAGAATGTAGGAGTGTTCACAAGTATCTTAGATTTTACTAGTGCGTTGTTGACGGACAATCAGAAAATGTTAATATTGTACCTGGACAACATAGGCATCATGGATAACAATATTCCAAAATATTTTCAAGTTTGAAGAAGTCGTGTCATAAATTTAATTTATTTTTTTATTTTGTTATTTTCTTTCCTGGACGGAATGACCCCACTGTATACCAAGCGTATCTTGTTGATGGTATTAAGAGTGATAGGTTCGGAGACATGTTTATCAACAGTTTTTTCTCGAACGTTTTCCAAGTTACTGACATAAACTCAACAATAAATGTTTTGCGTCCGATATACTCACAGTGAATTCTGTGACGTGTTACAAAAAAATCAGTATACATGCAAATTGGTAAATTTTGAATCCGAAACCGAGCAACTCGAACTGATTCTCCCCATATTGTTGAAAAGTTATAGACTTTCCCGGAATACAAAGAAAGTTTAAAACAGTTTAAAAAATATCACCATTATATATTTTCTTTCCATGATTCTCCTTTCCACCAACCCAACCAAAAGATGATACGTATTAATGTTTTAAAGAAATACAAATTTGGTTGGGGCCAATTGTAGTAACAGCAAATTAAAAAAGGGTTCGATAAATGTTGCATATGTATGTATTTTGTTACTCTAAATCCATCACGTGTAAAGCCTTCCGGCTGATCTTTGAAGAAAAATAATTTTTAAAAAGTAACAAATAAAAAGACTGTTTAAGTAATTGTTAATAAAATAAGAAACTAATCCTAACAACATTTATAACTATTTTTCTGTTGCTGCATTAATACTGAAATTTTTTATTACTAAAATTAACAATATTATTTCAAATGATAATAAAATAAATAACATGACAATCATCTCAATATACAATATTGTTATTAATTTTTAGCAGAAAACAACTGAAATACTAATTTTAAAAATTCTCATTGGTGTTTCCTCGTTTAAATTACTATTCCAATTATCTTCTTTAATTACATATTTCATTTGTATCTCATCTCGGATTTTAATACAAAATTATAACTTGTTTCTAATACCTTTGAGTAATTCTCTCATTTGATAGCTGCATAATGATACGCATTACGATTCATATATTATGATAGATGTTCTTGACCAATCAGAGGAGTTTACAAACCAAGTATAGACAATTAATTATTGAGAATCGTTCTAGTAAATGTTTCGTACGAATGTGTCCATTAAAACTATTTAAAAATCAATTGGATAGTAATTTTACTTTTCAATTGATAGAATTGGATAGTAATTTTACTTTTCATAAATGACTAGCGCAGTGGTAGTGAAAGAGGGAACATATATCTGACATTAAGATCAAAATGCAAGTCATTTTGTGAATGCAAGTCATTTTGTGCTACCGTGTTGTTGCTCTTAAAAACCTGCAATTCTGTAGTGCAAAATGTCTAGTAAGTCGGAGGGCGAGTTAGCACCTCCAGAAGTAAGAGAAAAGTCGAAAATGGTGACAACGGATTTATTGCTGCAACTTTTGAACTCTCTTGCTGGCGGATGGGAAACCAAAGCTATCTGCGACAGGTTAGTGTAGCTATCCACTAGGTGGACTTGGCTGAATCCTGCTTATTAACTACCACGAAACGATTCAATGTGAAAGTTTAACATATAAAAGATTTAATACGTTGTAGAAAAAGTGCCGTATAAAAATCGCTAAGATGGGTAAAAATACACTCGTGTGAATTTTACGATACGAGCGACGAGCGAGCGAGTATCACACTTATGTACCCATAATTTCATCATCGTTTCCTAATGTACTATTTTTGCATCGGCATTCCAAAACACTTTTGTAAACAATCCACAACGAACATATTGAAGTGTTTGGCCAGAAACCCATAAGAATCATTACCACTAACATTTTTAAAGTTATAGTAAGGAAATTTTTTAAAAATTTTGTTTAAAATGTAACTTTCAAATAACAAATAAATTTATGTAACACCCTATCTAGTAATTACAAAGAATACAACTAACTAGCTTTACTATCTCTAAGATAAATTTCCAGTTTCGTCCACTGAGACTGCCATCTTATATTTTACATTTCATACATCACCTGCAGAGGTCTAGGTTCATTCAAACATTTCAGGATGGTAGTGAGTGCATTCTTGCAGTTCAAAACATAATGGCGATATATCTCCATTGATCGTATCATTATTCTCGCTGGCGACCGCCAAGACATTGATTCCACCGCCATCATAACGAGAAGCGTGGAAACGAGACCGACCCTGTGGTAAAGAGCATACAGTTATCGTTTGGTAAGAAGTAACTCAACTGCAATCAGACTTTGCGCTATCATAATTGGCCGAGTGTAAAGCCTTGAACACCCTGCAATTGCGCGGTGCTAACACCAAAAATATGACATGGCCCTTTAGCAGATATCGGGGATTAGAATAAATTCAGAAGACTGATTCTGACCAGATTATTTTGTCAACTCATTTCAAACACTCATTACACATTGCATTTACATAATAAAAAACACAACTAGTTGAGCTACAACAGCACATAATTTCTCGCATTATTTCCAGGACATCACGTTGACAAGCAAGGATATTTTCACAAATAAATTGAACATTCAGATATCGCGTTATTAATGCATTCAAAACTACTTATTAAACTAATTATCTTATGCATATACGGGTTGACTCTTACAACTTTAGCCCCTCCTGCAGATTTTGAACGGTTGTAGTTATTGCAATGTAGTTTCACAGATGTTCACGAGGGAATGGAACTAACTGATACATGCATTCATTTCTATTTTATCACTTGTATTTAACAATATATTGATGTTTACTTTGTTTTTCAAATAGAACTATTCATTTTTTGTATATCGTGACAAGCGTAAAAAGACGAATTCAATGATATATGTATTGACATATGTTAGATAATCATTTTCTGAGTAATGTTGATATTTTGCGGCTTGTATTTAACGCATATTGTGAATGTAACAGTCCGACCCCGAAGGTCACGCAGCGCTCCTCCTCCTAAAGCCTTGGGATAAGGGTAGCTGATCGAAGTATTTCACGATATAAAACGTATTCCAAATGTTCACAAATTTGTTGCAAGATTTTCCTGAACTCTGCTTTCTATCCTTCCACATTTTCATATTTTTGTCCTACTTAATAGTTGAAGGATTGAAATAAAATTTATATATATATATATATATATATATTATATATATATATATAATATATATATTATATATATATAAGCGATAAGGTCTAGTCGGGACTTAGGTATGCCACGGCGTCGCACTCAATCGTCATTAAGAAATTGGAACAGTTCGATCGGATCGTATTGTCGGCCTGCGCGAAGCCGAGTTCTTCTTTCGGCCATTGCTGATCAGTGGGCGATATGAGATCAGAGCTGTGGTTGGTGACAGTGCGTAGGCGAGCATTCCCATAGCCGTAGACCTGTTTCGCGGCGACCACGGAGCACTGAAGAACGTCAAGATCGGCGAATCGGGAGGGTGGCGTTGACAGAACATTACGACCACCCACGCGGAGATATGTCTCCACGGCCACTATATGTCTCCACGCACCGTTGGCAACCGGTTACTTGATGCGGGATTACAATCGGAATACGCTCCGACTGCCACTCACGCCGAAACATCACCGGGCACGTCTGGCGTGGTGCAATGTGCAGGTCAGCTGGGAGGTACAGCTGGGAGGTGCAACTGCAGTGGTGTTTAGTGATGAGTGCCGCTTCAGCCTGCTCACCAATGATGATCGTGAGCGCGAACGATGATCGCACAGACGAGCGTGCGTCCAGAGTGGGTTCGTCCATTTCACGCAGGGCCCTCTCCGGACTAAAGGTGTTGGGTGCCATCAGCTGCAACGCGCGTTCGTCTTTGGTGTTCGTGGAGGGATCACTGACCATCGCTCGATACGTCTATCACGTTGTGCGGCCTGTACTGATACCTTTCTTAGAACAGGAGGGTGGTGCGCTTTTCCAGTAGGACAATGCCCGCCCTGACACTGCCCGTGTTACGCAACACGCTCTCCGCAATGTTCATCAACTGCCCTAGTCAGCACGCTCGCCGGATTTGACCCCGATCGCGCCTTGCTGCGACTCCCGTAACAACTCTGCATGAGGTGGGGCAGAAGACGTGGAACGGAACGGTGCATCTCAAGACACAATTCGCCATCTGTATGATGGAATGACAGCCCGCGTGATGACGTGTACTGCCCGCGGCAAGTATACGCTGTAGTGATGTTGCTTTTCCGGTCCATAGTTATCTCTCACAGGACTCTCACATGGCTCCACCGAGTGGGGAGGGATAAAAGGATGGCACACACATATAGACATAAACAAATACACCCATGTCCGAGGCGGGACTTGAAACCGCGTTTTTTTGATCCGAGAACGCTACGTCACTCCTGCCGAAATCGAAAAAGTGTGTGCGTATTTTTTACACGTCCGTCTGTCTGTCCGTCCGAAACCGGCTAATTCATTCATAGGATTTTTTCCAAATTGAAGAAACGTCTGCCCAATTGGCTCGAGTCGGAGCTTTGAGATTTTGAAAAATATTCTTTAAAATTTGGAGTACTTTACCTGAAGCACACCGAACATTTTCAAAAGTTTCTCAAAACAGCTCCAATTTTTTTCTTTAAATTTCTTGACAATAAAGTAAAATACTATTATCAAGTCGATAAAGGTCCGATTTTCACTGATAACTCTGAAGTTGCAAAAGACTGAAATTTTGTTGGTGTCTTCCTACAGCTACAATAATAAAGATACAATTTTTTCCCTTTTATAAAATTTGTTCTCCAAAGTTAGTTCTTTCATTAAGATTGTGTATTTTTTTTAAATTTTCATAGTTTTCGAGCAATATGTGCAACTTTACAACATTACAAAATAGATGTTATAAAAAACAGCTCGGAATTTTTTTAAAACTTTTGGAAGGAATAGTTCTAAGATGACATAAACGCCATTGTGCCAAATTTTTTGGTTTTTCAAAAATTTCAAAATTGTAATTTTTTTTACTTGTCTCTCATGTCGTTAATATTTACATTAGCGGCAATTGTTTCATATTATTGTTTATGAGTACATGTGCTTTAAATAATGTCAGAAAAAGGTTTTCGAAAACTCAACCGTTTTCTGTGAAAACTAGCTCAACATTCCGCATTTTTCAGAAATGCCCAAACGACATTTTTTTCAAAAACTCTTCAAATTTTTTGGAACGGATTATGCTAATTGCACACTTTAATTTGAGGTAAAGTTAATTTCCGGGTATTTTTTGGTTATTCAAATGTACATTTTTAAGATCTCTCACGCCGTTAATATGCACATTTCCAGTATTTTGTAATCACTAATGTATTTGTGAGTTAATGGGCTTTAAATGACTACAAATGAAGTTTTTCGAAAACTCAAAAATGTTCTTTAAAAAAGTGCTTCAAATTTGGATATTCTGAAGGGCGTAAGCACCATTTTCTTAAATACCCTTCAAAGAAAATTACTATTTATGACGAGGTTTTACTGTTCTTTAATTTTCTTAAAATAATATTTCCGTTCTACTATTAGAAACCCAAAAATTAAGAAAATATCAAAGAACTGTACTTAAGGCGGCGATAGATGGCAGCAGGCAAGAATATGTGGCAAGTTCGAATAACTAGCCGAGATCATAGGAAATTGAAAACTAATACGGGAAAGTCTCTGCCATTCCACTGTGTCACCACTAGTTATACTCTGTTATAATAACAAAAAAATTCTACAAAAACTGCGTTTTGAAACTACTTGTGAACCACATCACAGAACTAACCGCTACCTGAGAGAACTCAAGGGGCTAATTCCTTTGTTCAGCAAATATTGATATTTTTGTTTCTTTATGTGCAATCTAAAAGCTGAAAAATAAATAAAATCGAAAAATTGATCGTGAGATCTTTTAGATAACAATAAAGTGTTTGTCTGACGAGTCAAGTAATTGAAACTTTATTCATTTCATTTGTATTAATAAAAACTTGAATGGTATCATACCAAGTTTTGAATATTAATTATTTCTTGATAAAGTATTCAAAATAGAGGATACTCACCTCATTTTTTACGCTTTCGAGGTTGATTTTTTAGAGAAACAGTAGTTTTAAAGGCACAACAGCGAATATCCACGACTAGGACAGGAAAAGATTGGGCCTTTTGGTCTTGAATGGTTTACATTTTCTCCATTACAACACGTTTTTTAAACAATATTTCGTAATTCGGCAGACATCAAGTACTTAAGCAACGAAATGGGAAAGTTTGAGAGTGGCTCCAACTTTTTTTGAACATTTCATTGATTAAATATTAAATTAGAAATTCTGGCCGCCCTTAAATGATTACGGCAGCGGCTGATACACAAAGATGTTGTATCGAATACCTATAAAGTAAGGATGTCATTATCACGTGTTTGTTATTATGGACACTTCATAGCTCCATGTATCTTGTTCACAACTGCCATTCATAAGCTTCTCTTAACTCCCCTGTTACTCAGAAGGAGAGTTAACATCCGACTAAGAGCTACATCAGCATACCGGGAAATAGACACTGGCTCAGAGGTGCTTAATGATCTTAGATGGACGTAGCGTTGCAATCCAATTTAATTTTGAACGCCTAGCGCCTCTTCAATATAAATATGACAGTCTCTTCAATAAAGCCTATTACAATAATGAACGGACGAAAATAACTTTGGCACAAATGAACATCTATTTTTCTTTCAATTTTTTATGTATTCCCTAAATTTTCATAAGACATTTGAGTATTAAAATTTGCACAATACATATGCTTATTCATGTGTGTAGTTCCGCCAGTACGAACTACTGGTGGATCCCGGCAGATGTCCTGTTGTCAATCTCCCTCCTCCTCCCTCTTTCCCTCTCCGTCTCCTACTCTTTCTCTCTCCTTCTCTTTCTCTCTCCGTCTCCTCTTTCTCTCTCTGTTTCTCTCTGCAACTGAATCTGACTGTTTCTCTCTGTGCATGACTCTGCATCTATCTCTGTCTACCTCTCTGCAACTGTCTGTCTACCTCTCTGTCTCTGTCTGTCTCTCTCACTGTCTGTCTCTCTCACTGTCTGTCTCTCCAACTGTCTGTCTCTCCAACTGTCTGTCTCTCCAACTGTCTGTCTCTCCAACTGTCTACCTCTCTCACTGTCTGTCTCTCTCACTGTGTCTCTCTCACTGTCTGTCTCTCTCACTGTCTGTCTCTCTCACTGTCTGTCTCTCTCACTGTCTGTCTCTCTCACTGCCTGTCACTCTCACTGTCTCTCTCTCACTGTCTCTCTCTCCCTGTCTGTCTCTCTCCCGGTCTGTCTCCCTCACTGTCTCTCTCACTGTCTCTCTCACTGTCTCTCTCTCACTGTCTGTCTCTCACTGCCTGTCTCTCTCACTGTCTGTCTCTCTCACTGTCTGTCTCTCTCTGTCTGTCTCACACTGTATCCCTGTCTGTCAATGCCTATCTATCTCAGTCCCTGTGTCTCTGTCTGTCCCTGTCTCTCTCTCTCTCTCTCTTTCTCTCTCTCTCTCTCTCTTTCTCTCTCTCTCTCTCTCTCTCGCACCGCCAGTCCTATCCTCTTTATTTCGCCCTGCTCCATACTGCAACGCCCAACAACAATGAAGCTCAGATTGAATGGCAATTAAATTAAGGCAAGATTGCTGTAGCAGCGTAATTTAGTAGGTTTACAACAAAGTTAAAAATACAAAAACATAACTGCGTGAAAAAAAGTACCTAGATGTGACAACTTTCGTGTACAGCGGACACACGGTTCTACTGCATTTCTGCTGGCCTCTGGCTGAATATATTAGAAACCTGTCCCTTAACGACAGGTGAAAAATAATGATCGTGATGCATCTACCAACATTTTATTTAAAGTATTAATTTTTCGCATTTGTGTTGTATTCATCTTTATCGAACTTTGCAAAGGCACTGCGTCAAATCCTGACGAATAACTTATAAATATTTCGTATCTATTCGTATATTCCTTCTGCGCAATCACTGTCGATTACATGTCGTTGACTTATATTTTACTAGTATAGATGAATTTCTTTACAGTTTTCTATCGCACATTGAAAAAAAATACCAGTTCAGTTGTTGCAACGTCTAAAAATATCTGAAATGAGATGAAATCGTACACGGTGAAAAAATACTACATAATACATAGAAAGTTTATAATATATTTAAAAAAATAAGAGTTTAGACAATAGTGCAAACAGAAGAAAATACGATAAAAGTACGTTAAATTGAAAATATAAACCACGAACGAAAATTAAATAATGAGTACAAAAAATACTTTTCGCTTACTTAAAAATACAAAAAAACAACACAAAAAAACAATACTTGAAAGTTCTTGCCTGTGGAAGTCATTTTACCATTAGTACTCTTGTTCATAATAAGCAGCTCCCTTTTCTTAATTTATTTATGTCTCCTTTGTATAGAGGAGTTACTCTAAAAAGGGACCAGTTTCACAGGTTGTGAAACAAATAAATATGTAAGGAGGTGTCATTACAAGCGATGGTAATGAAAACCTTTTATTAATGAGCTCACTCTAAAGGAATGCATTGGCAAATTAAGTGCCTGGACATAACCCACAGTTATGTTGTCAGCAGTAGCTAAACAGTAGCTGTCAAAACGGTCTCTCCTTTTAAAAATCCTCTATGACAGAGCTGATGGTCCTTCATGTAAGCAAAACGCACCAGGACTACCAGCTAATAGCGTACGGAACCATCCAGCCGCTACAACTGAAATCAGCCGAGATTGAGCGGCTCCTACATCTGAGAAGGAGCCACTCCAAAAATTGTGATTCCGATCAGACACATGTATTTCACGGGCAAAATAAGGAGCAATACATAAATTAAGTGAAACCTTTATGAGGGGAGGCGAGTCAAGGCGAATCTCACTCAATCTTTCGCGGGCGAGAGCGGGGCCTCGGCAATTATCACGAATTTGTTTCGCTAAAAACAGTGCTAAATTGCGAGAAAACTGAGACAAGTTAAGTAAAACACGTTTCTATACTAAAATACGGCTAAATCTTGCCTAATATTTTTTTATCGCGGTTATGGAAATGCTACAATGAGTAGCATAGTAATGCGACAGTATAGACACTGCGATAGCGTAGTATAGTCACTGCAAAGTTGAAGGTACTGATGAATATATGAAAATCATACGGACATGTTGCTTCCGGTAGTTACTCATGAGACCGCACTTGATTCCCCGTCAACTAAATAACAAATGAATTCTTGTACTGTTTTTAGAAGTGCAATAATATTCATTGTAATTCAGCCCCTCTATTTCCTAAATACTAGTCATTTTTAGTCTTAAATATTATTAAACAAAATATATTTTCTAAATAAATCCCAAAGCAATCAATCACAAATTAACATATTTACATTTAAATTACGCTTTAAGAAAAATCTCACGAGAGATTAGAAGGGGTTAGAAGGGGAGAACGGCCGAGCCAAATCTAACGAAATCTCACCAAGAGGAGAGGGGGGATAGGAAAATCACCTCATGCAATTTACGGACGGCCTCTAAGAAATGCACTCGCCCTCCGACAATGCAAAAACAAACGAGCGAGAACGATCCAGACTACAAAATGTTTTTCCGGATTTATTGTCTAAAAAAATGTAGAAAAAATCGAAGGAAGTTGCTACTTCACAATAAACTTTCAAAGCATAATTTCAGAGCACGGAAATATTGTTTATCAGCGCCATTACTTTTCAATTTAAGTTAAGGTACGCGCCTGGTAGAATCTATTTGCATATTCTGTGGGCGATATTTTCCTAAAAAGATCGTGTCTGGAAGCATTTTGCATCCATTGGTTCCCGCATGTTTGCAATCAGAGTGAGGCAGGTAACGAGATGAAGCCGCTTTGTTTGTTCCAAATGGTCTATACTCGCACGTGCGCCCAGCGTTAGCACAGGGCACAGAGTCGGGAGAGACAGAGATGGCGCGGCACGGGAAGGGGAGGTGGGCACGGCTGAAGGGGGTGACAGCGGTAGTGGCAGCGGCGGAGGCCGGAGGGCGCGCGGCGCCCAATTTGGGGCCGGATGAGCTCAGCAGTAAGCATGGGTTTGGGTATGAGCTGGGAAGGGTTAGGGGGAAAGGGGGAAGGTGGATTTGACAGGGAACGCAGAAGAGGGAGGAGTGGAAAGAGGGGGAAAGAGTAAAGAAGGGACAGAGAAAATATGAGAGAAGAAAGATGGGAGAGAGGGAAAGGTGGGAGACAGAAAAGGGAAGAAGAAAAGAAGAGAGACAAGAAAGAGATAGAGGAAAGAGAGGGAGTGAGGAATGGTGGGTTATAGGGAAAAAAGAGGAAGAGAAAAAAGAAGGGAGAGAGAAAGGAAGGGAGAGAGAAAGGAAGGAAGAGAGAAAGGAAGGGAGAGAGAAAGGAAGGGGAGAGAGAAAAGATGAAGAGAGAAAAGGTGGGAGAGAAAAAAGAGAAAAGAGGGAGAGAGGAAAGAAAAGAGAGAGAGAGAGAGAGAGAGAGAGAGAAGGAGAGGTGAAAAGAGGGCGTGCAGAAAGAAAAGAGTGAAAGAGGCAAGAGGAGTAAAATGAAGTGAAGAGTTAAGACAGAAAGGCATGAGGGAAAAAGAAAAGAAGAGTGTTACGAGTGTAGAAAGGAGAGAGAAAGTGTTTAATGCTTGTTATTGCAAACTTTAGAGTGTGTTACAACACTGATCCTATTTTCTTTCTGTCGTGAGGAGCAAGTACTCATAAGCATTTGATGGAAAACTAAATTTTTTTTCAGAACTTTGGACGTAACTGATAATTTAACTTACGCATACGACAGTCTAATGTTTATGGTAAAATGACAGGACCGTGGTAGGCTATAATTTTTTATTCCACAACTTCTCATTCCCTGAGAAATCGAATTTTAAACTTTGATAACTAAAACTGTGGAGACTGAACGTTGATAAGCATCCGTAATGCATATTTTCGAATTCAACATGCGTCCTTAACTAAGGTTTTATTTATACTAAGCGTTATTTTGCGTTGAAGTGAGCACTGGTCGTAGTTCCGCACGCGCAAACCCTTCCCAGGCTTCCTTTGAAACTTACCCCCGACGTGGGTCAAAGCATGCGAGAAGGCGTGTTCCTTAAACGCATGGGAGTATTTCTCATTTTCGATTTGTGCCAGTCTCAGTTGGCTATATCCGAGATTTCTGTTTCTCGAAATTGCCATTGGACGGTCTTATCCTGAACTGAGCCGTGACTTTTTGCACCTAAGGCAAAGTTTATAGACCGCGAAACTCTATTTAATAGCTGTGTTGTGAACTATACGTAATATTTACTTATAAATGTGACTTTTCTAAATTTTAGACACATAGTCTTCCATGCAACTCAGAAATTATTTTTGAGATACGTCTCTTTTCTAGTGCACTGACGAAACATCATACTCCAACAATCGGTATCGCCATACAATCATCTGAAGTCTGGATTTACCCGTCAGAAAAACTACGTTTGGCACACTGCGCCGTTGTCGGTACATTGTTGCTGATACATTTTTGCAGGATTTTTTTTGACACTAGCTTGTCAGCTAGGTCGAATTCAGTCTCTGTCTGGAGGAGAATTCTAGCGGCCGGTTGTTTTCATCGGTAGTTTTCCTTGATTTCTTTGATAAACACCAGGTGAATGCCGATGCAGTAACCAAACAAACGGGCCACGGACCGGGAGCGATTTTTCCTACTCCTTCCTTTCCCAATCCTCTCCTCTTACACACACTTACACTAACACGAACTACACAAGCAGACAGCGAGGGAAAGATCACCGCCACCTCCAGCGCAAAACCATGCACTACACTTACGGTTCGTATGCCCCTGGTAGTCGACGTGCTCGTAATCACTCAAACAATCAATCAAGTTGTTGCTGGTCCTCTGAGGTGTTCGCTCTTTCTCGAACTATCTGCTGCCATCTTGAGCGCTTCCGTTTCTGCTGCGCGGCCGCCATCACTCCCCAATTCCACGCCACGCGAGTCTCCTCAGGTGTTCGACCGCTGAGGCGCGACCCTCACAACCCACACCTCTCTTCCGCACATCTCCTTGTAAGACGATCCCTCCGGCAGTGAGAGCGGAAATTGGGAAGTCAAGGTTTCGGCTGCGTTTCAGACACCGACTGCTGTGTGGTTTTGAGGTTCAAGTGGTTTGTAAAGCACCTTCTTTGTTTATTGGACCATTACGAGTCTTTCAAGGAACGAGCAAGGAGACAGGACAACCTCTTACCATGCACCTACTCTGATACCCAAATTTTCGTGCGTACTTACGCGTTTGAGCGCGGTCCGTAATCCGTTTGTTAAGATAGTGGTCCGGCATTCGCCTGGTATTGATCAGATAAACCTTGGAAAACTGCTGGTCAGAGCAGCTGTCCACTAAAATTTTTCTCCATACAGCTGCTGAATTGTACCGGTCTAAGGCACTGCAGTTACGAACTTTTAATCTCACATTTGTAACAAAAACATTAAGAAGTCAGTTGTGTACCTCGTGTGTGATTAAAGCATGCTACAAAATATTTTTTATAATTCTGTTAGTACAGTGTAGTTGTTAAAACTCATGAAGATAATTGATATTTTTTATCAAATCTCACAGTGGAATTATAACACGCACGTCAAGGCGGATTTTATGTCTTTTATGATGTTGCCATCTTAACCACCACTCTTATTTATGCGTTTTTCTAGCATTTCGAAAAATCCCTCTTAATGAAAATACGGACTTCAAGTGATAATGATAAGATGCTCTTATCACTCCCTCTCGCACATATCTTTTGCTGCGCACCTCTTCAAACAGAGTTCCTCCAGATACAACTTCTTGTGGACGAAATGGGGTGGCAGAGTGTTTTACAATATTAATTTTGTCTTTTCCCTTTCATGCCACAACTAATTCACAATTATTATCATTACCATTATTTATATCATTGCAGTTACTCAGCGATTATTTATCTTCACGTGTTTCTAACTTCTTAGTCAATCCTCGTCTTTCTTTCGGAGCAATTAATTCACTTGTAGTGAGCCCTCATGCAGTGCGTAAATGAAACTAACATTTTATAAGTATGTAATTAATGTTCAGCATTTAAGAATAAGTATTATAACTTTTCCTGCATTGAAATATACCTGGAGTTAATCCTGAATACGTTGAATATTTTTTGTTCTGAACAATCTCGTAACAAAATACACAATTATTAACCACTGGTTGCCTTTCTGGTTTACCGAAATTTAAATAGTGTATACCTCTGAAAGAAACATTTTAGTTTGAATAGGAAAGTAAAATCTAATTACTCTTTCATCAACCATGTTAGCCAGTTCTGTCATGTAAGCGATTCATTGATGCCAAATCAAATTGCCGGGCGTGGCCGTTTATAAACACGTATATATACGAGTATGTCTTATTTATTTCACAACTGATGTTTAATTTGTGCTTCAGCCGTTTTACTTCCTATTATTTATGTTGTTCCGCTAATTGGAGAATGTTTGCTTCATATCAATGTAGTATTTATGAAGCTAGAAATCAAATCATAAAATATAACAGAAACAATTTAAAAATTCCTCTTGAGAAATGCTTCTAAACATAATTATAGATTATGATTTAGTCTTTTGGGTGTTTAATTGAAAGCACCATGAAAGAAAGCACGGGCTCTTCGGAATTTTGGTATTTAAGTCCTAGGCGTTTATATTCGTTTGTCGACTTACACGCTTACACATTCTCCTTCGTTTTTTGGTATGATGTTTGTGCATTCTTACAATATTAATTTTAGTAACTGTACTGAAACAATGTAAAAAAACATGAAAATGTATCTCTAACTTCCAACTACGGACCCTGAACTGGCCTGGCCCATCCTTAACACCTGGCCCACCAGTCCGTGTAGCTGACGGAAGAATACAGTTCGCAAAGCGAGACGGTCTTCGGCGATGCGCATCCGTTTAAAAACCTGTCAGAAAATAGTCTGCAGGTCTGACCAGATCATAACACGGTCGAGACGGCCAACCTGATCCCTGCGGAACACCACATCGCATTTGCTTCCTCTCGGGGTTGCTTCTCTCGTAGCGCTAGGTATCGCGTGCGCGACACACGTGCTTATTAGTGGCGCTTCTGTATGTACCCCTCCACCTTCTCCCCCTCCCCTGCACCCCCCGGCCCAGCAGTACCTCTGCCGACCCTACCCGACCGCTGCCGACGACCCAGCTCCCGTGCCCGACGCTTAACTGAGTTTGAAACGGGAAATTCGATGTCAAAGCCGCCAGATTCCGGTCGTCGTTATATTTTTGCCTTCGCCGTGTAACAGGATAAAACTTGCCAGCTCCCCCGCATTTTTCGTGCAGACGGGTATGGAGGTGCCATCAACGTGCCACAAAGCAAAGCAATGTTTGCTGGGAGGCTCATTGTACGACGAAAATTCTCTCTCTTTTATTGGAGTAAAATTGCATTGTGTCGCTTTAATTAACAAACCTCGAAACTCCACTTTTGATCCATTTGTATCATCATCTCGTGGCCAAAAATGTTCTGTGAGAATAACTCGTATCTAGAAGAAAATTCCTTAAAACAGTGTTCTACAAACCTCACAACTCCAACATTACTTTTGAGCATTGGCAGAACTTGCTATTCAGTCATAATTCAACAATTTTTCATGCTTTCATGTTTTCTATGATACAATTCAGCATTATTTTTCAGTTAGGGAAGAGAAGAGATAATAGTAATACCACAGTACAGATTTTGTTTCAAATTATATTTTGTTTGTTCGTGTACTGTAAATGTTATCTACAACACTGTATAGAGTTTCTTCTTAAGGCAAATGCTTAATTATGGGTGCGAGAGCAGATGTCATTATTGATGTAATTAACAATACAGCTAATGCTGTGCGAACCAAACGAATATTCGACTGCCGAATCAGGCCACGTTTTTCTTAGTACCCAATGAATTTTGTCGTGTTTTCCTACATCTATGAGTCTGAATTAAAGTCTAGGAGATCAAAAAACGTCAAAACAAACTACCTTCACTGTTTCATGTAGGATTCTAAACCAATAAATTCGTGATTTGTTTTTAGATGGTTTGAAGTAACAACATGTAACTGATTCAACTGTCTGACTTCAGAGTTGGCGTGCGGTGCTCCTCAAAGGATTGCAATGGCATTCAAAACCCTTCTTTGGGGGTTTACTCCTAGTTGGCTGTGGTGTATTTTCGAGATCCGAAGTGTTTTTTGTTACGCCTGTGGCATATTAAAGAACTGAGGCAGAGGATAATGTTATTACCTGCCGCCCCCAATGATAACAATAAGCCGCGTCCACTATATTACCATCACTGTCAGTTATTAATGTGTTGTTGCATTAAAAACAAATGATAAAAACATTGTTACAATAAGTAAGGGAATGAGTGTTAAAATTTCCCACCAGTGCCAAACCCGAATACCTTTCCTAAAGGTCTTGTCAAGGCTTTTGCCTTCCGATAATCTCTTCATTTTTCACAACTGCTCCCGTCTCAATTCATACTGTGCTTCTAGTTAGCTTTTCAAAGGTCATCCACTTCTTTTTTGTACGATATTTCCGTCAAAAAATTATTAAACATGATTTGTGAGTACCTTCTCTAATTTGTTTTTTTTCGAGACTTTCATAAATATTTATTTTCACCAAATCTTATTATCGAACATCCACTAGTAGGATGTTGTCGAACGCAAGACATCTCTGACTAAAGATCTTCCGTTGCATTCACCTCGTCTGCGTCTATAACCACGCAGCCAGTTTCTTTCTTTATGCAATGCATCAATTAGGGAATTTACCTTTCCTCGGATCTTGAGAAATCGCCGCCCCGCTCTCATTGCGGAGTCACGAGCGCACCGCGGCGACCAACCCGCGAACTTTCGTTGCATCGCTGTCCCAGCGCTGCGGCTCACTCACCGCCTTCGATCCTGCTCTCAGGAATCCAGCGCTCCGGTAATGACTTGGGCTTCACAAACATTTCAATGCGACCTCCGCCCGCGCCTTCGCTTCTTTTCGGGGAATAACGAGGCGGAATTGGCGGAACGGCCGAAATGCCTCGGGACCCTTCGGCTGCGCAATTAGGCCCCGCGCGGGGTCTCCCGTGGCAGAGCGGAGCGCGCGGTATTATTCTTGGGAGCTCCTTCCTCCACTGGAAAAATAATGCGGCGAAATCGATCCGGAGACACAAGAGTTTCTTACTCTGGCGTGAGAAAATCAACAATTCCCCGGTTATGTTTTCCAATTTTGACTTATAAAATCAATCAAAATAAACGCCACTAACGTGTACACTGTCGTAGGTAATATCACGAGTGCTTCGGAAATTATCGATAAATCCCTGACACGCGAAGCGGGAAGGGTTTCTCCTCTGAGAATTGCCACAGCACGAGTGGTATTTAATAGGACTATGTTATAGTATGTTATAGGACTAAGTTATAGTACATACGCGGTTTATTGCACATCGACCAGCGATCAATACACACCGTCTACGAAGATACGTCGCAGCTTATAATGAGAGAGCGGTTATGCAAAGTCGGCTAGAAATAAGTGATATTTTTTTTTAAAATGCACCGCCTTGATTGGGACATAATTAAATGCAGTAGGTAAACACGATTAGTTTCATTTTACAAGTGAAATAGTCCCTTATAATTTAAAGGAAAATGGGCGTTTCTTATGAAATTCCGTAAAGTTCAGAATTTCGCTAAGAAATCATATTTCTACAAGAGTTGATGTTCCTCCCAGCTACACAATGAGAACGGGCCCGCGCTTCATGTCCATTTGCGATAGACCTTCGAAGATTCGGTCTCTCCTACATAAAGTGTCCGCCAGCGTAGCATTACCTCAGCCGAACCAAGGTCTCCTAACATGTGAGATTGTTTAGTGGGTGAGTAGAGAGAGAGGAGAGGATGAGGAAGCAAAGATCGCTCGCGGGCCGCAGCCTGCTCCGACATTCGCCTAGAACAGATCGGAGAAACCGCGGAAATCTCATCAAATTTGCCGGCGCTAAAATTCTCGCCCAGACCACGGCTGAGTTGGACTTCGCAATCTAACAAGTGTCAAAAATCAGGCACCGCCGGGAGTCGAGTCCTAGTATCTCCCGGTGAGAAACTCTGCAGTGGTCACAGTTGTCGCCCGAGCCATCACACTCGTTCCTCAGGTGGAAATACATGCGTCCGGAGCTAGTTACGAGTACAAGCCTCATACTCCTGCAACGGGGCGCGGAAGGGGGGCTGGCCGTGGCGTTTTGTAATGCAGTGATGGGAGCCGTCGTGGAGGTCGCCAGATTCCGGCTTCGCTTTCCGAATAACGAGCACGAAACTTGGTCGTGACCGGCGACTCGGCGGACCCCCCCCGCTCCCTTCCCCTCGCCCCGCGTCGCCCTCACGCTCCGCGTTGCGCCATCACCCCCCCCCCCACCGCCCATACCCCCACAGAGACAGTTGGCCTGAACTACACCAAAATGGTACAGCCAAACCGCACAACAAAAAACCTTCCACTACGCAGCCTCTAAAATTCTGATTGACTATTCCACTCGTGAAATTTAAACCAATGTTTAACTATACATACAAAATGACCCAATCAAAGCGGTGAATCACAAAAATGTTACCACTTTTTCTAACAGATTTTTCTTATCGCTTCCACCTACTGCCCAATCATAAACTGTGACTCATCTATCTTAGAAAACAGTATACATCGATCGCTATATCGATACCCAATAAACCGCATATGTACTATCACCTCTTTGATGTTAACGTACTAGCTTTCAGTTATATTCAATATATTGAGCATTTTGGAGCTCTGTTGGGTATAATTTCATTGGTACTGGTCCCATTTTCGGCAAACACACTGTTTTTAAAAATTACAAAAAAATACAATTCAACATTTCAATATTGATGGTAGAGATATTTTTCTTAAATGAAACCTGTTCTAAAATATTTGAGAATGAAATAAAGTCAATCACAATTTCCTAAAAAAACAAAAAACTAGTAGTTTTCGCGTAATTTCTGCTTCGGTATAATGCAATTTATATTTGTTTCTAGAAAATGTGTCCATTTTTTCTTTAACATTTCCTGGATCAAGTAAAGAGCTTAAAAATTAGTGCAGGTATCATTTTCGTTGAACACTCTAAATTTTCGGAAATTGCCAATTGAATAATGTGAGAAAGTATGTACTGTAGTAGCACCTCTATTTTCATTCATAAGTCTTTTGACCTATGTATGTCCCATATATGCGCAGAGTATGCCAACGTAGCCATTACCGCTAGTAGAGAGAAGTTGGTTCAGGTAACTGCAGCTTTGTCCCAAGGCGGTTACGAAACGCCTGTCGCGACTCGTAAGTCATTAACAATATCGAAGACGCCTATTCTCGTTGCGAAGTTGGCTCCACAACTTGCTTTCTTTCGCGGAGCCAGGATTTCAAAACTTTTCTTCTCCTGAGTATTTGTACGATAACGAAATATCTTGTTCAGCTTCTCCCGTAAAGTATGAGCAATTTATGTGCTGTACTCCATTATTAAGTTTTTCTTAAAAACTGGACAATCTAGAGATATATAGGAGGAAATATGTTCCAGAGGTATGAATTCGAGGAGGTATGAAGTAAATTAATAAATCGTTGGAGTAAATAATGTGATAGAAGGCAGATGGAAAGTATTAAATTAAAATGTATAAATATATTTATAAACCAGTATTATATTGGCATATACCTGGCAGTGGTTATTTCACTTTTTAAATGCTGCTTTTCGATTACTGAATTAGTGAACTCGTTCTAATGTATCGTATTTCTTGTTCCATTAACCGGCTAAGATTAGCTTAGAGACAGTAATGCCGCGGTCTGATTCTGGTCGGGAGGTTTTGAGTCTCAACGTTGGTGAATTTGCGATACCAGCTGTAGAGCTAGGTCGAATTCATCCGCTGTCTGGAGGAGAATTCTACCGACCGACTGCTCTGATCAGTAGTTTTCCGTGGTTTCTCCGATCAACGCAAGGAGAATGCTGGAGCACTATCCTAACAAACGGGCCACGGAACGCGCGAGAACATTCCCTCGACTTCCTTTTCTAATCGCTCCCCTTATACACACACACATACTTAAATGCACCAATCATATATGTCAGGAGACCACTCGAAATCTTAGCGCCCTTCCCGGCCGATGCGGAGCCCCGCAAGGAGGGGGAAATACCTGTCATTCGGGAATTCACAAGCCAACGTGGAGAGTGGCGTCGGATCTCATCATTCAGCGGAGAAGAAAACACTGCCAACTTCAGAGTTAAAACATTCACTTTACTAATGGAATTAATGACCATAGTAGTTGGCGTGTCCAGAAACATAAATCAGTCTGTCAATCAATCAAACAGTCAGTCTTGATACGCAAAAATCTTGATTTCATCCTAATTTACTATATTGACCATGGAAATTATTCATGTTTTGCAATATATAGTTTGGTAATAAAATGAGCAAAAGCTAGAATAGTCATCAATCAAAATTGTTTGTTTTCTCAAACAGCCCTTTCTAACCATCCTGTTTTCAGCCCTCACGTTTTCTGCCATCCTGTGTCGATAGCTCGAAAAAAATCTGTGCCTCATCCCCCAGCTTCGTCGTGTCTATCAGATTTCCGCGATTTAATTCCGATAACAGCCACACCAGCAGCGCAGCTTTCGTTCCCCCTCGCGTCACAGGCGGCGCGCAGAGCAGATTGCGACGAGCTAATCACGTCAGCCAAGGAAAAGAGTGGGCTCCTCGCTGAGGATTCCGTCATATCGAGTGGCAGGCGATCGCCAGCCCGCAGCCATTTCCGGACGCCCCCATTGCCACTCCCCCCCCGCCCCATCCCCATCCCCGCTACGCCATCCCTTCGACCGACGGTGCCCCTCGTTTTGACCGTTTTTAACACGTTGTAGATTCTTGACGTCTTGGCTGTCCGGGTGACGCCGCGACGTTGGCTGAGAAGCCTTTGGCTGTTTCGCCAGTCATGTCGCAGGCTTCCTCAGAGTAGTGACCTCACTGGCGTCACTCGGTTAGCCAAGAAGTCATGAACTCGAATCGCGGAAGCTTACGTATATACGTAGTTGTAGATTCTTTTATTGAGCTGTAATTTAATTCGTATTGTAAATGTAGATGTATTGTAATTCTGTATTATTGTGATTATCACCTGTCAATCAGCCAATTGTACCCAACACAATATTAATTATTATTATTACTATTATTTGGATCGGTAATTTCACTATATCTAAATAATTTTTAATTATTATACACTTGCATTACGTTCTCAATGGAAATATGTAGTAAACTTCCTCAGTTAAGGTATAGTAAAAATGGTTCAATACGGTACGTGATGCGAACATACATTGTGGTTCGGACTCGCTATTAATACCAACTATTCCCGATTACGAGGACACTTGGCGAAGGTGAGGCAGAAGAGAAGGAAAATTAGACCACGAACGCATATCATCACTAATCGGATCATGTACCGATGAAATGATCTCCCAGTGGATTGTGTTGAGAAAAATACTTTAGTGTCTTTCAAATTCTGTCTCAATAATTATTATCAAACGAAATAAATTCTAGAGCAGCATACATGATTATATTAACTTATTGTGAATTTGTTAATGTTAAAAAAATAGTTTTCCAAAATAATATCACGTCAACTACATTGATAATTTGTAAGAGATATATGTGATTATCAACTTGTTTCTTAAATAAATAAATAAATCATCCTCTTTTCACATCTTTCTCTTCCATCTCATTCTTCTTTTATCACATTTTCTTCCTCCTCCTCCAACACTTCCCATCCTCCTCTCTTTCCTCATATTCTTTCCTTCAGACTCATCCCCCCTCCTTTTGAATCGCCGTCTGGAGTCCTGGAAATGAAGGGAGGGGGGAGGGAAGAGTGTTGGGTCGGTCGGCGAGCGAAGGCGAGTGAAGGGAAGAGATATATTAAGCGGAAGCGGAAAGACACGTGCCAATTATGTCTGAGGATGCGTCCCCGATTGGAGGCAAATTGTCAATCTGCCGCCTGCCACTCAAGAGGGCGAGCGGGAAGGGGGAGGGGCGGGAAAGCGGGGGAAGGACAGGGCAGGCCAAGCCGTTGCCAGTGAGGATGAAGACAATCGAAAGAGAGGATAAGCGGACTTCAGGGAATTGAAATGCGCGCAAGATGTACAAAGAAATTGTTGGGAGTTGAGGAATATTCACCAGCGAAATCCAGACTATTCACTAGAGAAACTATGAAGATTATAAGTCAAATACAAAATAAAAAAAATTCTGACACATTCGTGTAAGAATTTTAAAAACATTCAGAAAGTAAATTATTGCTGTTCAATATTAATAACTAGAAAGGAAATTGCGTCCGTAGGAAATAATGTGAGAGTAGTGAAAGTAAATGTAAACGAGGCAGACGAATTCAAAATTGTGATAATTAATCTAACTGAAAGGTGTTCACTACCTAGACACTTAAAATGGCGTTTAACCAGTGTGTACGTTTATTCTATTAAAATTAGAACGTTTTCTCCTAATCACTGAATTAAGACGAATAATTTAAGTGGCACAAAACGTTTATTTGACCCAAACTTTTCATTTCACTAATTATGGCACAAAATAAAGGTACTAATTTTATTATCATTAAAATTACATCTCCAATTATCTCTCCATTCCCTGAGAATACTGAGAGAAACTTATGATATTTAGTAAACGTTTGTTACAGCGATGAAACGAGAGAAGTATCTTACAATCGGAACTACTGGTGCGGGGCTACACTGAATTAAAATTAGTCTCCTTTGCAGAAACAAAGTTCTGGTACTTATGTGACAAAATATAATGCGAGTAGCTAAGGTTAAAAATTCGTTTCCTTTTCCTGGTGCATATAGTAGCAATAATAGTAGAAATAAGATTAAAATATTATGGATTTTTTGAAAATCATATTTTAAATAATGTTTTGCCAAGAAAATGCACCGATTCTTAAAAAGTCACATTGATTTTTGGGGGTGAGACATTTTCT